CGGCGCGCCCCATTCTGTCCCTCCCAGTAGCCCGCTGCCTCCCACCAACCTGCCCGACCCAGTCACTGCTCTTCCTAACGAACCTTCCAGCAATTAAAAAGGAGAACTGAGAGATGGGGTCCGAGCCTAGTGTCCCACCGGGGTCCCCAGACCCACCCCCGCCCCATCCCCTGCACTCACACGGGCAGGCGGAAGAAAGAGCCGTTGCGGAGGAGCACGTAGCCGGAGGGGAAGGTGCCTCCCACCAACCTGCCCGACCCAGTCACTGCTCTTCCTAACGAACCTTCCAGCAATTAAAAAGGAGAACTGAGAGATGGGGTCCGAGCCTAGTGTCCCACCGGGGTCCCCAGACCCACCCCCGCCCCATCCCCTGCACTCACACGGGCAGGCGGAAGAAAGAGCCGTTGCGGAGGAGCACGTAGCCGGAGGGGAAGGTGGTGACGCCAAACTTCTCCACTAGCTCCTCCTCGCTGCTCAGCACCCTCCTCACTGCCACGTTCTCATACTGCAGCATGTCCAGTGCCACCTGCAAGCCCAGCAGCCCCAGGGTCAGTTGGGGGGGTAGCAGGACCCCCAGCCCCACCAAGGACACGGCAGGGCTATGTGGCACCCCGTATAACATTTCACACCTGTAAAGTGGCATGCAACTTGACTGAGGAGGCTACTGGGACAAGACTTCCCTGCCAAGGGTGCCCAGGAGTTATCGGGCACCAGGGACACAGGCTTCAAGAGAAATGGGGGATAAACGCAGCTGTACCCACCTCTCTGCCCACAAAGGAGTTGCTTTTCTCGAAGATCAGTGCCAGGTACTGGTCCTTGTTCCTCTGGAAGAAGCTGTGAACCTCCTCCGCGCTGCAAGAGAGAAGAGAATGGCAGCGGGTGCCTCAGCATCAGCCAGATGTTCTGCCCTCCTGCCCGAAAGGAGCTCAGTGCTCGTCCCCGGCGATTCGGCAGGGGATGCCGGTGCGGGTTCAGCCCCGCTGAGCAGGCAAATCCTCCTCGCTGAAGTTTCCAGCCCAATTTTCTGCTCTAGTTCACAGGCTTTGAGAAAACCCGCCAGGGTCAGCCAAGGAGGGAGAAAACAAAGCATGGGCAGGGCAGGGCAGGAGGGAACTGCACGTTCACCCAGGGAAAAATACAGCAATGAATCTGAACTAGGGCTGTTGGTTTTTTGGCTAGGACACAGAGGCACCGGAGACCTGAAGCCTCACCATCGCTTTAGGAAAGCCAAACACTCCCCCCTGGGACAACCACGTAAGTAGCTCTAGCCTGGACAGGTCATCTGTGTCACCCTGGGATGTGAGTGATGCAACGGCTGCTCCACGCTCCTTTTTGGCTGATGATTTTCCCAGAAGTCAGCTCTCAGCAGGACAAGGGCTGCCGGAGCCATCCCCCCCACATCATGCCACCCCTACCTTGCTGGCTCCAGCGGAGGACAGGCGGGAGGCCAGGCATCCTGGCTTTGCTCCAGGTTGGTGATGATGGCATGGCGCAGGTCTTCAACAGTGGCACTGGGATCTGCAGGGGGACAGGATGCCAAGAGGTCAGTCCTGAGGAAGCCAGTCCCATGGGCTGAGCCAAGGGGAGCTGCTCAAAGCTGACCCCCCAGGCTCTCCAAGGTCCCAGCACATGGCAGGTATGGGCAGCAGGGCCGTTTGCACCCAGGGTAAAAAGCCTTCGTGGCTCCGATACTCACTGGTAATCCTTATCCCATCCTCCACCTTCTTGCTAAAAGCTCGGAAGAACTGAAAGAGGAAAAAAAAAACCCACACGTGAGGAAACTGGAACGAGAGCTTCTGGAGGGGGACAGGAAGGCAGCACGGCCCAGCAGGCAGAGGCTCCCACCAGATCAGCTCTGCCTCAGTTTCCCCACGTTACAGCATGTCAACCGACACCAGCCACCGCAGTGGGACCTCCCAGCCACAGCCCCATCTCATGGGGCATCCTTGAACAGAAGGGATGCAGGCACGGGGCAGGAGCTGCGTCCAGCTGCGGTGGGGCAGGCACTGCCAGGGGACCCAGGGAGGCAGGTGGGACCTTCCCGGTCCTGCAAACCACTGTCTCCCTACTCCAGAGCTCTTACAAAGCAGGAGAAGGGGGTTTATCTCCCCTGCACCTGCTCCCGGCCTCATGCAGAGGTGCCGGTGGCACAGCGAAATGGGGTTGCGTCAGATGGGTGTTTGCTTTACAGGCTGGGCTGGGAGCACAAGCTGTTTGCAGAAGGTGTTTAGTGGGGACAGGGGATGCGAAACAAGTGACTCCTTGGCACTGCCACATCAGCACATCTCCTTGCCCTGGGAGACGTTTCAGTCAATGTCCCACGGGCGGTGGATGCTCAGGCAGTGGGTGCTTGGTGAGACCTCAGGGCAGGGCTGGGGTACAAGCCAACCTGGCTGACAGCCCCCCAAATCTGACCCCACCTTGGGCTGAGCCTGTAAGCTGGGACTGAGGCACGTCTGATCAAACCCTTATCCCCCCCTGGTTCCGTCTCAAGGCGATCCCAGCTTTTGCTGCCTGCACTTGGAGTGTTTCAGCTTTATTGCTTGTGTTGGAGCGAGGCTCTGTTTGCAGTGGGAAGTGCTGTGATCCAGCATATTGACACAGCGAAGGGGCTGGGCACAGGCCCAGGAGGAGGGACAGCACCTCGCCAGCCACCGCGGGAGGCTCCCAGTTGAGCTCCGTGCAGCCTCCCTGCACCCTGCTCCAAAACCTGCACCTGCAACCACTCTCTGCGCCCCAGCAGCCTTTCCCAGGCGTTTCCAATTCAGGTTTCGGACTCTCCCCCATCCCAGCAGAGATCCGGCCCCTATGTTTCACCACGAAGCAAGTGTTTTGGTTTTCCCCATCCTTGTTGCTACATCACCCAGCGGTTGCAGCGGCTGCAGCCCAGCTACAATTATGTTTTGGGGAAGGGTGAAACAACTCCAGCCCGCAAAGCCTCAACGGGAATGCTTTGGTGCAACAGCACCGTCAATCGGATTGAGCAAGAGCAGGACAGGCCAAAAGGCAAAGCGTGGTGAAAACAGGGCACTGGCAAATACCTGGCATGCGCCGCCCGTACCTTCAGCGTGGGGAAGCCGGTTATCCCAAAATCAGCGCACACTCGCTGGTTGGCCTCGTCGGCGCAGTCAATGGCTGCCAGCATCACCGCAGGCCTCCACTCTGCAGGGACAGAAGATGTGGTCAGCACAGCTCTGCGGCCTCGAAAACCGCCCCACTCCCCACAACCGCTGCAGGCATCTCCCGCTGCGCCAGCGCGCGGCTCCTCCTGGCCCTGAACCGGTGCATCCCTCGCAGGAGACCCACCGATGGTTTCCCAGCCCCAAACACCCGAAGCCACGGTCCGTGCCAGTGTTTGGCGTCCTACTTTTCGTGTGGCAGGAGCGTGGGGAAAGTCGTGCGAGGCGGGACCGGGCTTTGCACGCCCTGCCCTGGCCGGCGCCCGAGCGCAGGCAGCTCTGCCCGCGGCTGCCTGGCCGCCTCGGTCTCCGCCCCCCCCAGCCTCTGCCCCCGTGGGAAGAGGCCACCAGGAGAAGGGGAGGGATGGTTAATCGCGGCTGGGAGAGAGCAAGGAACATGAACTCCAGCGCGTCTGACCCCAGACCGAGGACACAGTCGATAACCGAGAAGGAACAAGCCAAAACCAGTGGCCAGGACACCACGGCAGAGCCCACCCAGGTGCCAAGCATCTGCTCCCCCGCTGCATCTTTCCACCACTGCCTCCCCAGAGAGGATCAGCGGGTCCCTGGGGTAAACCAGAGACAAAGAAAAGGGGACGTGGAGGCATTTCAATCAGTGAGCTTTGAACGCCAACAGGAAAATGGAGATAAAAGCTCTGAAATGGCTCCTTTCGAGTGTAAAAGACAGAAGCTGAAGAATGCCCAGCAGTGCTGGCACACAGATAGAGCCCGTGCCACCCCAGGTGGGAGCCTGCTGAGGGTGGGGACCTGCTGGGACCATCCTGTGTTGCAGGTGACGGGGCAGGTGAGCTGCTTCCCGCTGCCCTGGCACCAGGGAAGGCGTGTGCTGAGCCCCACTGCCAGGAGCCAGGCACGCTCCGGGACTCATCGGCACGTGGTGCCCACGGCTCACCCTGGCATCCTCCGCATCCAGCCCACTCCTGCGAAAATCCACCCGTGGGAACGGCACCAAGGATGCCAAGCAACTTCACCCACCCTGCCTCCATGGGCACCCAGTGTGCGGTCCAGCCTCCTGAGTGGGGAGCCCTGGGGGGATCCCGTTTTGAAGAGGGAGCAGGAGAGCCGGCATTCCCCCGCAGGGCCCGGGCACGCACCCCATTCCTCACATCCTGCCCCGCTGGGGAGCGCTGACGGCATCCCCAGGGAGGGACGGCATCCCCTCGGAGGGATGGGATGCCCGCCCCGGCCGGCGCCCTGACTCACCCAGCACCGACCGCGCTGTAT